AGCTGGTCAGCCGGCCCGCAACCCGGCCGCCTTTCCCCGGGACCGCAGGATGGACCTGCGCCCCCCAGGTGAGCCAGCGCCCCTCCTCGCAGCCTCCGCAGGACTGGGGGCGTGGAGGCCGCCTCCCCGGGCCTTGGGGGGGGCACAGGCCTGGGAGTGCCTGTAGCCTCCAGCCAGGCCACCCCGGCTCCACGGCCCGGAGAGGGCCCGAGGGGACAGGGCTGGAGCAGAAACCTAAAGCAGTGTGGGAAGAAGGTTCCAGGCCGAAGGGGCAGCCAGGGTCTGGGAACGTCATTGGTGAGGACGGAACTTGACATGTCTGGGTGATGCAAAGGCCCTGTGGCCTCTTTTGAGCCTCAGGCACAGGACTGGCCTTTGGGGAGTTGGGGACCTTGCCTGGAGCTGGGGAAGGGCCAGTGCTGGCCAGGGCAGCGGGGGGGGGGGGAAGGAAGCTTGGCAGGGCCCCTCCAGGTCATCAGGGCCCCAAGTGTGTGGGGACAGAGGAGACTGGGGACAGGCCAGGGTGGCTCGTGTTCCGGGGCCAGGCCTGGCGCTTCATCCCAGACTGCTCCCCTGGGGAGAGACCCCAAGGCTGCAGGAGCCGCCAGGCCCCGCCCATGACTTCAACCTGGGCCCCTGGGCAGCTCTTCCCAGGGAGGGAAACGGAGGCCCGGGCCCCAGGGCGGGGAGGCCGGAGGAGGCCGCGCAGGGCAGGTCACGCAGGGCACCCGCGGTCACCGGGGGTCAGAGGAGGAAACCAGGCCCAGAAGAGAAGCCCAGAGAGGAGGGGGCCAGCCCGGCCTGCTGGGGGGGGGCAGGGGTTTTAGGCTGGGGGGACATCCCCGATGGGGACCCCTTGACCAGTCCATCCTGTGAGCTCTCCTGCGCAGTGCTTGCTCAAGTGGACAGATGGACGGATGGACAGGTGGTCAGCAGACAGGCCTGGGCCTGTGTCCCCTGAGCTGTAATGTGGGGTGCGTGGAATGCCCCAGACGGACGAGGAGGCTGGGGGAGGGAGTCTTTCCAGGCCGGGGTGGTCAGGGAGGACTTCCTGGAGGAAGAGGAGGCGGGAGGTGGTGCTGAGCACAGGTCCTGGCCTGCGCGGGCACCGCGTCCTCCAGCTGGCCTGAGCCAGGGGCCCGGGGCTGGAGGGGACCTGGCCTCAGCCAGGGGGTTCAGCAGCGCAGCACCGGCCCACCGGGGCGTGGAGCCGGCCTCTTCCTGCTGTGGCCTCTGTTCCCCACCTGTCACAGGCTCTCCCAGGCTGCCTGCCGGGCCGGGCCGGGCAGCAGGTCAGGCCGCCCCAGGGCTGAGCGGGCCAGGGTGAGGAAGCCACGGCGGTGCCCTGCAGGCCACAGGCTGACCCCTCCCCCACTGACCCCCCTTCCTGGGCCCAGGCGCCCCCTCCCCCGGGGGAGGGGAAGTGAGGCCAGCTGTCCTGGAGGCAGAGCTGTGAGCACCAAAAATACACTGGAAAGGAGAAGTGGGGGTCAGCGGGCAGGGCCGGGCAGGGGCACGGAGTGGGCCCGACCGGCCGAGGCCCCGGGCTGGGGAGCGGGAGGGGCTCGGAGGAGGACGAAGCAGCTGGGCTGCGGTAGCGGTGGTTAGAACCGTGTGATGTTTGTGGTGTGTGCGTATATACATGTGTGTGTGTGTCTGTGTCTGTGTATCTGTGTGTGTGTGTGTCTGTCTGTGTGTGTGTCTGTGTGTCTGTGTGTGTGTCTGTGTATCTATGTGTGTGTGTGTCTGTGTCTGTGTATCTGTGTGTGTGTGTCTGTGTGTCTGTGTGTCTGTGTCTGTGTGTGTGTCTGTGTGTCTGTGTCTGTGTGTGTGTCTATGTATCTGTGTGTGTGTGTGTGTGTGTGTGTGTCTGTGTGTGTGCCGGTCCTGGGGCTTGAACTCGACGCCTGGGCACTGTCCCACTCTACCACTAGAACCACAGCGCCACTCCTGGCTTTTTTTCTTTGTGGTTTATTGGAGATAAGACTTTGACAGACTTTCCTGCCCGGGCTGGCTTTGAACCGCGATCCCACCAGCACCTGGTTGATTTTTGTGTTATTACCATTTTTTAAAAAAATGCATCTCCCATTCAGGCATGGTGACACAGCTACTCGGGAGACTGAGCATGGTTTGAAGCCAGGGCAGGAAAGTCCATGAGACTCTTATCTCTAAATAATCATCCAAAGAGCAAGAGTGGAGTGGTGGCTCACATGGTAGAGCGCCAGCCTTGAGTAAAAAAGCTAAGGGACAGCAACCAGGTCCTGAGTTCAAGACCTAGTGCACGCGCATGCACGCATGCATACACACACAGAGACAGACAGAAAAATTCATCTCCTAGGAGAGTGTTGAGTTCAAAGTCAGCCTGAGCAGAATGTGCAAGACCTTACTCAAAAACAGAAAGGGGCTGGGAATGTGGCTTGGTGGCAGAGTGCTTGCCTAGCATGCATGAAGCCCTGGGTTCCATTCCTCAGTACCACACACACACAGAAAAGGCCAGAAGTAGTGCTGTGGCTCAAGTGACAGAGTGCTAGCCTTGAGCAAAAGAAGCTCAGGGACAGTGCCCAGGAGTTCAAGTCCCAGGCCTAGCAAAAAAAAAAGGAAATAGGAAAACCATGTGGCGGCTCAGAGAGGGCACCTCCCACACAGCAACCAGAGGGGAGAGTCCTGGGCCCAGGAGAAGAGGGAGGAGCCAGAGCTCCTACCTAGAACTTACCGGTAATTGGGTGTGGTGATGCATGCTTGTAATCCCAGCTAGGCAAGAGATGGAGCTCCAAGGGGACTGAAATCCAAGACCAAACCAAGTAAAAAAGTTAGTGAGACCCCATCTCAATCCGTAAGCCAGGTGTGGTGGTTCACGCCTGTCATCCCAGCTAACAGGACAGGTTGTAGATAGGAGGATTGCAGCCCAGCCCAGCCCAGGCAGAAACCTAAGGCCTTATTCAAGTCCTAAGGAAAGAAGAGCCGTGGGTGTGGCTCACGTGGTAGGGTAGCTCACGTCACAGAGGTAAGGACACCCTGCTAGGGACATTCAGGGTCAGGCATAAAATCTCCTGTCCACCCTGGCCTGGGGACCCAGGCTCTGTGGCCTGGTCACAGAACCCATGTGAGTGACACCGACAGAGCCGGAATGACCCGCAGCAGGCAGGAAGGCCGCACCTCTCAGTCCTCACTTATTCCAACCCCCAGAGAAGACAGCTCCAAGGGCCCAGCCCAGCTCAGTGGCCAGGCCCCGGGTCATCTCTTGCCCCACCATTTGGGGACAGGGGATTGTCAAGTGTTCCCGCCCCCCTCCCAATCCAGTCTCACCTTTGCAAAATAATAACATGGCGACCATACCACTACAGACTCACTTCCCAGACTCCCTTGCAGCTACGCGTGGTCATGTGACTGCCCTCTGGCCAATCAGGGGCCCCGAGTGTTCAGGGAGGCCTCCCAGGGGAGGTGGCCTAAGTGCAAGCAAGCTGGCAGGCATGGATTGGACCCCGGAGGGAAGAGGCCTGTGGGACACAGGTCAGCCCAGCATCTCTTCCCCCCCAGAGCCCGGGGAGCTGAGCAGCGGGGAGGCCGAGGAGCTGCAGCAGATCCAACAGCACCGGAAGCAGCTGCTGGAGGACATCCAGGTGTGCACGGCCACGCTCGCACACGCAGACCTGGCCCCAGCCTGGTCTCACAGCCCCGCCGGCCCGGGGCCTGGGGCACCAGGGGAGTGGCACGGAGCTAGGAGCCAGAGAGGGAGCAGATGCTGCGTGCTGAGCGCACCCCAAACCACTCTGCCCACTTCCCTCCACCAGGCCTGGCCTCTCCCCACAGGCAGGCCCTTGGGTCAAGATAACACCTTTACATGCCCGGCTGGCAGCTGACCAGTCTCTGAACTACTCAGCAGCCCTGAGACCAAAGGGCTGCAATCCTTGGGCATGCCGGCCCCCGGGCCTTGGCACATGCCCTTCCTCTGCCTGCCGCTCCTCCAGCTCTCCTCATGGCCTCTCCTTCTCGCTACTTCATCCTCTAACCACACAGACCATCCCCTTAGCTAAGCTAGTGTAGGTCCTGCTCTTTCTGTACTGTCCATCCGATAAAGACCCCAAGGCTGTGAGTCCAGCGGTCCTCGGTAAACCCCCATTTTGTCCAGAGGGAGTCATGCAGCCAGGCTCTCACCGATGGGAGCTACCTGGGGTCTGAGCTGGCCTCCCAGTCCAGTGTTGGCCTGTGTGCTAGGACAAAGCTGGGGAGCCCTCTGCAGAGAGCGGGGGGGTGGGGGGCTGGGGGGCTCCCGGGTGCTGCTGCCCTGTGGTGCGGGGAGGGGAGCTGGACACGCTGCTCTGGCTCCGTCAGCTCCCGGGGAGGAGGGGGTGCGGCAGGTGGGGCAGGTGTGGGGGGGGAGTGGGGGTGGTCTGGACCCCTCCTGCCCTGCCTGGTCCTGACCCGCCGGGCCCGCCCCATCTCCTCGTCCCCGCAGAAGCTGAAGGAGGAGATCGCAGATGTGTTCGCCCAGATCGACTGCTTCGAGAGCACTCAGGAGAGGTGAGGCCGCCCAGAGGGGCCCGGCACGGGGACCAGCTCCTGGGCCCGGTTGGGCTGGACGGCCCTCCTTACCCCCCCTCCCGACCCTCCTCCTCCATGCAGTCCCCCCCACTGCCCTCTCCAGGAGTGGCTAACATGGCGAGGGGGGGAGGGGGAGGAGCGCCAGGCCTAGGACAAGGGGGAGGACCAGGCGGCCGCGCAGCCCGCACCCACCCCTGCCTCCGTGGCCTGGGGCAGCCCTTCCACTCCTTGGGCCTCAGTGTCCCCACGGCTGGCCCCCAGTGCAAGGCTCCAGGACTCAGTGCCCCCCCCGCCTGGACCTGCTGCCCACTGCTCCCCCGACCCAGAGCACTGTCCGGCCCTCCAGCCGCGCCCCCCCAGGGCATGTCCACTCCCTAGGAGGGTGCTGGGGGCCAGGGCCGGGGGCCGGGGGCTGGGGTCTGGGGACCAGGGGCCAGGGCCAGGGGCCAGGGGCTGGGGGCTGGGGACTGGGGGCCAGAGGGCCAGGAGCTGGGGGCTGGAGGCCGGGGGGCTGGAGGCTGGGGCCGGGGGTGGAGGCCCGGAGCTGGGGCCCCGGGGGCCAGGGACCCAAGCAGCCCAGGCAGGCGCGTGTCTGCCCACAGTCGGACGGCCCAGAAGGAAAAGGAGCTGTGCGTCGGGCGCAAGAAGTTCAACATGGACCCCACAAAGGTGAGGGGTGCGGGTTTGCACGGGGCCCCCTCCACTGGCACGAGGGGTGGGGCTGGGCTGGAGCCTGGGGGAGGGTAAGCCAGCCGGGAGCGCCCCCGCCCGCCCCTCTGTTAGATCTGGGGCTTGGTCCCCAGAAATGTCCAGTGCTGGGCACGGACTCCCCCCAGGCTCTTGGGGGGACATTGCTGGCCCCAGGGCTGCACCCCAGAGCCCCTTCCTGCAGGGACAGGGCCTAGAGGAAGCCAGGCCAAGGTGTGAGCACGTGTGTAACGCAGATGTGAGCTGAATGGGAGGCACTGTGTGCATGGAATATGCACATGTGTGAGTGTGAGCTTCGTGTATGTGCACATGTGCACTGTGTGCGAGTTCCATGTGGGAGAGCACAGGGTGCCTGTGTGTGCACGTGAGCTGTGTGCAAACACACGTGTGCGGATACACTTGCACACGTGCATGCAAGGACACAGTGCACTCACGTGTGCACACGCCCAGGCTCTGAGTGTGCACAGCCGGGTGTGGGCACGGCACTGCCGATCCCTTTAGACATGGCGATCACGGGCCTGACGTCCCCCAAAGCAAGTGTGATTTTAAACACCAGGAGCTTCAGGGCTCAGCACTGCACTTAGAATCATGCGTGTTTGCTGGTGGCCAGACTCAGAGCAGGACCGGCTGCTGGGGAGCTGGGAGCACCTGGCCAAACCTGGCTCGTTGCCAGCGCGCTGGTGCTTTGCTCTCCTCCAGCCACAGGCAGCTGCTCCTCCGGCCGGCTGTGCCAGGGCCTGTGCCGAGGCCCCGCCCCTCCCGCCCGGCCCCAGCTGTGCAGGGACAGCTCACCCCCCACCCGCACCCCCAGCTCACCCCCCCACCCCGTGTCTCCAGGGCATCCAGTATCTCATCGAGCACCAGCTGCTGACTCCCGACGCCCAGGACATTGCCCAGTTCCTGTACAAGGGTGAAGGCCTCAACAAGACCGCCATTGGCACCTACCTGGGGGAGAGGTGAGGGGCGCCGGGCCTGGGGGGGAGGTGAGGCGGGCCGGGCCTGGGGGGGCTCTGTGCAGGTGCACATGTACAGTGGGGGGGGCCAGCACATCCAGACCTGGGAGCTAGCATTCACTGGTTCAGCAGCAAGGCGGTGAGGCCCGCTGCGCGGGGCCACTGCTCCGGCAGAGCCAATGCACATCAAACCTGCCTGACAACAGCAGGGCCCCAAGGAGCGGAGGAGCAGGGCCCGGCTGAGGACTCTGGGCTGGCGGCTGTGGCTCTAGCTAGTGTGGACAGGAAATGGGGAGGGAGGAAGCCCTCAGAAAGAGCAAGTGATAAGACTGAGGAGCAGAGGGGGAGGAAGGGCGAGGGAGGGGGAGGGGGGAGGGCCAGAGAACATGGGGGTGCGGGTAGAGCTGGGCCAGGGAGCCCCAGCCCTTCTCCTCCAAGGCCAAGTGCCCCTGGACAAGTGAGTGTGCTTGGATGGGGGAGGGGCCTGCAGCGCCCCCCTCCCCTCCCACCCCAGCGCCCCCCGCCCCTCCGCAGGGACCCTGTGAACCTGCAGGTGCTGCAGGCCTTCGTGGACCACCATGAGTTCGCCAACCTCAACCTGGTCCAGGCCCTCAGGTGAGCAGACAAGTCGGGGGAGGGGGGGAGGGGGGGCCGGAGGAGGGGAGGGGGAAGGGAGGGGAGGGGGCGCTGGCTTTAGTTCCATTTTCCTGTCTGACCTGGGCACTTGGATTGAGAGTGTGTGATAAAGAGCACAAACTGAAGCCACCTTGCCCAGTTCTAATACCAGCTCTGCCGCTCTCTCCCTCTGTGACCCAAGCCCACACAACAAGCCTCTCTGTGCCCCCCATCCCTCACCTGTGAAATGGGAGTAGGGTGTTCCTGTGGCACGGCCCACAGTGAGCCTGCTGCTGTGGGCCAGCTCCAAACTGCACTGCGGCCTAGCAAGTCTTGCTGCTACTGCCAAGCCCTAGAAAATCAGCCCCCGAGAAGGGGCATTTGATCTAGGCTTTGAAGGGTGAAAAGGAGTTTGCAAGGCAGAGAAGAAAGAGCCCACCCCAATCTGGGCATGAGAACTTCTCTCAAACGCCCATGCTCTTTAAAGGAGCTTAGATGCAGATGCCGTGGCTCACGCCTGGAATCCTAGCTCCTCAGGTGGCTGAGATCTGAGGATCAAGGTTCAAATCCAGCATGTTTCAGCCCAGGTAGAAAAGTCCTTGAGATGCTTACCTCTAATTATCCACCAAAAAGCTTTAAGTGGGGCTGTGGCTCAAGTGGTAGAGTGTCAGCCTTGAGCGAAAAAGCTAACCAAGAGCTCAAGGCCCTGAGTTCAGGCCTTTGGACAGGGGCCAAAAATGAAAGAGAGAAGAAAGAGAGAAAGAAAGAGAGACGGAAAGGCAAGGAAGGAAGGAAGGAAGGAAGGAAGGGAGGGAGGGAGGGAGGAAGGAAGGAAGTTAGGAAGGTCCCTGAGACTCTGTGTCCCAGGGGCAGGGCTGGGGGGGGGGAGTGGCTCGTGTTTTCCCCTGACAGGGAAGCGGGGAGCAGCGGTCAGGTCTCACTGAGCCCCCCTCTGCCCCCCAGGCAGTTCCTGTGGAGCTTCCGGCTGCCGGGAGAGGCCCAGAAGATCGACCGCATGATGGAGGCCTTCGCAGCTCGCTACTGCCTGTGCAACCCGGGCGTCTTCCGGTCCACAGGTGAGGAAGGGGCTGGGACGAGGTTCTGGGACCCCTGCCAATGCCCAGCACAGATCTGCCCCAAGGCACCCCGGCCACCCGGCCTTGGAAGACGAGGCCCTTCCCAACCCTCACAGAGCGCCAGCTACTGCCTCACCTGTGCCTGTGGCGCCTGCGCAGAGCTGCCGTGGTCATGGGCCTGGGGACACAGCAGGGATGGCGGGGCGAGGGTTAAGGCGGCAGCAGCTATGTCTGGGTGCGAGGAGAGGGCCGGCCATACGTGCAGGATGGCAAGGTCTGAATGGGACTTTGAAGGATGAGTAGGAGTTCTCCAGAGGTTATGAGGAAAGGGGGGGCGTTGGGTCAGGAATTTGCTTAAACAAGGGGCAGCCTGGGCAGGGAGTAGGGGGCAGAGGGCAGAGAAGATCAACAAGGCTCAATAATCCCCACCGCCCCCAGCGCCCAAGTGGGCACCCCCAGGGTACCTGCCGCAGCCAGCCTCACGCATCTGTAAAACGGGTGTGTGGCAGCGCGGGGCACCGAGAGGTCAGGCTGGGGTGACCCCCGCGTGGGGCTCCAGGGTGGGAGAACAGGAGGGAGGGGGCGGGGAGGGGGCGGGGCCCGGGCAGCCGGTGACGCACCCCCCCACCCCCGCAGACACCTGCTACGTGCTGAGCTTCTCGGTTATCATGCTCAACACCAGCCTGCACAACCCCAACGTCCGGGACAGGCCGCCCTTCGAGCGCTTCGTGTCCATGAATCGCGGCATCAACGAGGGCAGCGACCTGCCCGAGGAGCAGCTGCGGGTGGGTGAGAGGGCGGGGCCGCCCAGGGCGAGGGGCGGGGCCACCAGGGGAGGGGCGGGGCCGCCTGGGGGAGGGGTGTGGCCACACAGCATGAGAGGGCGTGGCCATCCAGGTCCAGGGGAGGGGCCGCCCAGGGTGGGAGGGGTGTGGCCACACAGTGTGATGGGGCGGGACCATCCAGGTCCAGGGGAGGGGCCGCCCAGGAGGGGTGTGGCCACTCTGTGAGAGGGTGTGGCCACATGGGGGCGTGGCCACATGGGGAGATGGGCGTGGCCTCCCAGGGTGGGCAGAGCCTGGCCACCCAGTGTGGCTGATTCCCAACTCCTGTCACCCAAAAATTCCTGGCTCAATTTCCCTTCAGAAAGTTGGCTTCGGGCTTGGCTGGATCCAGGTGTTCAGTGACACCAGCACCCCATCTCTTAGCAGCCCTCTTTCCTACATGTCAGCCTTCCTCTTAGGCAGGCCCAGGCCGTCTCCCGATGCAAAGCTAGGTTTAAACAGAGGAAGAACAAGAGCAGGGCAGAGGGTTCAGAGTCCAGCAGTCTAGGCATTGGGGCGGGGGGGACGCCTGGTCCCCAGGAGATAGTGTGTGGGCATCACAGGTCACCGGCCTCTTCTGGGGGTGGGGGGCAGATGGGGGTTCCGTCCTGCCAGGCTCTGCTGCACAGTTTTGATCCTTTTGGCATCCAGATGCCGTCACTCAGTCCGGTCCTTCCTTGAACCCAAGGGGATTAAGGGACAGACAAGCAGGCAGGCAGGCAGACAGACGGACAGACAGGCAGACAGGCAGGCAGGCAGGCAGACAGACAGACAGACAGGCAGACAGGCAGGCAGGCAGGCAGACAGACACAGACAGACAGACAGACAGACAGACAGACTGACTCAGAAAAGGCAGGTGTAACCTGGCTGCAGGGGCGTCGAGCTTTTCTCCTGCCTTGGTGGGGCTGGCGCAGACTCTGAGACGCCATGGCAGGGCGCTGTGTCTACGCGCATGCCCCGTGCGCCGTGCGCCGGTGCCGCCGGGTGCTTAGAGGCGCAGGAAGCGTGGGCGGCTGAGGCCTGAGCTGTCTTCTGCGTGGGAGCCGAGCGCACAGGCTGATGGGTGACCACAGAAGCTTCTGGGTCTCCAGTGGCTTCTGTGCAGGCCAAGGCCCCATCCACACCCACGCCGCCTCCTTGGGCCCCCCGATGACTTGGCCCTGCTGATTGCTCTTCCTGGGCTCTTTTTTTCCACCGTCCAGGCCACCTGGGAATTCCCAGGGTGAGGGTTGGGGGAGGGGTGGGATGGGGGTGGGGACTCCCCGAGAAGCACCCAGCTCCCACTCTTCTTCTCCAGCATAGGGACAGGGAGCCTGAAGTGGGGGCCCTGGGGGCTCTCAGACAGAGAGGACCACCAGCAGCCCGCAAGCCTTGCTTCTCAAACTGGGAGAACTCAACAAAAATGGGGAAATCACCTGGTTAAAAAATCTCCAGAAAAAACACTGGGTGCCAATGGCTCACGCCTATAATCCTAGCTACTCAAGAGGCTGAGATCTGAGGATCCTGGTTCAAAACCAGCCTGGGAAGGAAAGTCCATGAGACTTTTATCTCCAATGAGCCACAAACACACGCACACGCACACACACACACTCGGAAGTGGAACTGTGGCTCAAGTGGTAGAACGCTCGCCTTAAGCACAAAAGCTCAGGGCAGCGCCCAGGCCTCAGTACTGGCCCAAGAAAGAAAATTCAGAAAACCCCAGCAACACCAGTCAGCCAAAAAGAAATGTCTTAAGTGCCTTCCGTGTCCTGTCTGGCGCTCATGAGCAGGGCAGCGGGAGGAGAGGCACTGCCTGCAGGCTGCAGGGCGCCAGCACCTCTGCCTCACCCCAGCGGCGCCCAGGACCATGAGACCCTCAGGCCCTACGGGCTTCTCCCTTGCGTCTTCAGCCTCTTGCGTGTGCACGCACTCACAGGCAGCTCGGGAGAGCCAATTCCCACCACCTCTGCCCTGTGCTACACAGGGAGGGCAGGACTGGGGGTGTGGATGAGCCCAGGCCAGGGGGGCACGGGCTCTGACACATCTGAGGGGACCAGGGAACATTTTACCAAGAAAGACCAGAGACGGGGACAGGCAAACAGGAGAGGTGAGCTTGTGGGAAGATGACCTCCTGAGGCCAGCAAGGCTGGAGACCCAGGCCCAGCCAGGCCCTTCCCTTCTGTCCCCAGAACCTCTTCGACAGCATCAAGAGAGAGCCCTTCTCCATCCCTGAGGACGACGGGAGCGACCTCACCCACACCTTCTTCAACCCTGACCGCGAGGGCTGGCTGCTTAAGCTGGGTAAGGGGCTGACGCGGATGTGGATGGTCTTGTGCACACACATACACCCCACAGGCACAGGAATGTGGCCTCGAGCGTTGAGACGTTATGGCTTCCAGCACAGAAGCCAGCCTGTCCCATCCTCCCACCCATCCATCCTCCATCTTCTTATTCTCCACCCACCCATCCATCCATCTTTCATCCACCCATTCATCCATCCACCCATCTATCCATCCACTAACCATCCATCCACCCACCCATCCATCTTTCATCTACCCATCCGTCCACCCACCCATCTATTCTCCATCCACTAACCATCCACCCACCTCCTCCATGCTCTCATACATCCATCCATCCACTCATCCATCCTTCATCCTCTCATGCATATACCCACCCACCCATCCATCCTCCATCCACTAACCATCCATCCACCCATCCATCCTCCATCCACCCACTCTTTCATCTCCTCAGCTATCTACCCATCTACTTGTCCATTCACCCATCCATCCATCCATCTCAAACCCGCTGCTTATGGGGGAGATGCTCTAGCCTTTATGAGCTTCAGTTTCCTCCTGTGGGAAGGGAGGTTACCAACGGTGCCCTCCTCATCAGCGGCTATGGTGATGAATACGGAAACATGTTTTAAGCCTCTAGAAGCAGTTATGGCAAATCAAAGCTGCAAAGCTTTCCACAACGCTGGGCAGGGAGCAGGCGAAGGACAGAGCCAGGGTAGCAGAGCCAGGAAGAGCAGGGAATGGTGGGTACTCTGCCCAAGACCGGATCATCAGGAGGCTGAATGTGGGTCACATAGCTCAGTTCAGGGCCCACTGAGTTTGGGGACATAGATGTGGGTAGCAAGGGGTTAAAGCTGTGAGGGGTCCAGGAGAATCCCATGGGGGCCGCTGGACCAGGAGGCTGACCAGCTGTGCTGCTGGCCTCTTGCAGGAGGCCGAGTGAAGACGTGGAAACGACGCTGGTTCATTCTGACTGACAACTGCCTCTACTACTTCGAGTTCACCACAGTGAGCAGAGTTCCGGTCGCCCTGCCAGCCCCCCGCCAGCCCCGCCCCCGCCCCGCCAGCCCCGCCCCCACCCTGCCAGCCCCGCCCCCATCCCACCTGCCACGCCCCCACCCCGCCAACCCCGCCCACCTCCCCTGAGGCAGTCCCAGACACAGGGCCAGTCCTCCATACCCACTTCACAGAGGGGGGAAACCGAGGCACCAGGAGGCAGAGAGGCTGGGACCCAGCCTCAGCTCTGCCCCCGCTCAACCGCTCTGGCTGGCAGAGGTGTCCCTCGGTCTGGGGTGTGGCGGAGCCCCGGGCTCAGCCTCCAGCTTCCGCTCGGTGACTCAGAGCTCCCTTCCTGTCCCCGCAGGACAAGGAGCCGCGGGGCATCATCCCACTGGAGAACCTCTCTGTGCAGAAAGTGGAGGACCCCAAGAAGCCAGTGCGTGGGGGCGGGGCCACCGGAGGGAGGGGGCAGGCCGAGGGGAGACACCCGCTGCATGCCCCCCCACAGGTGAAATGTCACCCCAAAGGGCATATAGCCCAGTTGCCTCTGCTGTTTTCTGCGCCTCAGTTTCCCCCTGTGTCAGGTGGGGGAGCTGGGTCCACACAAGGGCAGTGTCCCCTCCCTCAGGCGGCAGCACAGGAATCAGGACTGGTGGGGAGGGGGCACCCTGTGGGGGGTCACCAGCGGCATGTGGGGGTGCTGCTCCCCGACCTCTGACCCCCCCGGGGAAGTGGGTGCAGCCTGTGGCCCTTCCCGCAGTTCTGCCTGGAGCTCTACAACCCTGGCTGCCGCGGCCAGAAAATCAAGGCCTGTAAGACGGACGGGGACGGCAAGGTGGTGGAGGGCAAGCACCAGTCCTACCGCATCTCCGCCTCCAGCGCCCTCGAGCGGGATCAGTGGATCGAGGCCATTCGGTAAGGGCGGTGGGCCGGGGCACCTTCCAGATGCTTCTTTGAGGTCTCCTCTGGGGCCCCCTGCTGCATACCAGTCCCTCCTGTGCACTCCTGGGGGACACTTCCTGTGAGCCTGGCCTCGAGCCAGGCCTGGGGACATGGAAGATGCCCTTGGAAGGCCCGTGGAGGCCGGGCAGGAGATGAGGCTGCAGAGGATGGCCAGGCCGCGATGGCCACAGTGGGCAGCTTTGGGAGAACCGGGAGTCACAGAGTGACAGATGTGGGGGTGCCCTGCGTGGGTCAGTGCTGAAGCACCAGGGTGGGCGGTGGGGGGGGGAGATGGGCATTGTTCCTACATGTCACTGACTCAAGAGGAAGGGAGAGGTGGGGACTGGGCACCTGTGTGGGGGGGGGAGGGAGGTCAAACACACTCTGGGCCTGGCTCAGAGTTCAAGTGGGAAATGCAGATGAGGAGGGGCCTGGTGACCAGAGGACTGAGGGCCCGCTGCCCGGGCTATGCTCTGGCAAGGTGCAGGCTCTTCCCTGCCCCCTTCGCCCACAAGCTCCAGCCTAGTTCTCATCAGAGGGGGAGACAGGCCCAGAGAGGGCCAGGCCTCGCCTGGGAACACACAGCACAGGGGCGAGCAGAGCTTGCTCAGGGAGCCCATCACCTGGCTCCACCCCAAGCACCCACTGGGAGCTCACAAGGGGCTCAGAGACCTTGAGGTGCAGAATTCCCAAGCCTGGGTCCCCGCGCTCTCCAATTCAGGCCATGAATACAGAACAGGATGAGACTGAGGTAGTACTCCCCCCCCATCTCAGGCCCTTCCCCTCCCCGGCCCCCCCGGGGTGGCCGAGCAGCCATGAACGCTGTCTCCTGCCTCCCCCAGCGCCAGCATCACCCGCGTCCCCTTCTACCACCTGCTCTCTGCCCGCAAGAAGAAGATCGCCAGCCAGCAGTGACTTCCCTGGACCACCCTGAGCCCCGGGGCGCGGGCCCGCGGGACCGGAAGCTCCCGGAGCCCCTCCTCCTCTCCCCCTGCACTGTCCCCTGGCCACAGACCCGGAAGCGGAGCGGACTCTGGGGGAGGTAGAGTCCAGGAGGAAGGACAGGAGCCGGGGGAGCTCTGGGCACGCACCTGTGGCTGCCAGCAGGAGTCAGAGAGGCCCTGGGCCTGGGCCAGGGTGGTGGTGAGCCAGGGGGCCCCGGAGGCCCTCCTCACCCCAACTTCCCAGGGCAGGAAGGCCGAGGGGTTGCCGGGGCTCCACCCACCTCTGGCCTGGCGCCTCCTGCTGCCCCGATGTCTGTGCCAGCCCCCCATCTTCTCAGCTAGGCTGCGCCCTGGACAGTACTCACTTAGCTGGGACCGACAGGCCCGTCCTGACCTGCTGTGGGCCCGCCGCGCCCCGTCCCTGCCGACCGCAGCGTTTGGGTGGGAAGCGCCTCGGCCCCACCAGCCCTGCGGCCCTGCTTCCAGCCCACTGAGCGGCCCTGGAGTCCGCTGGCTTGGGGCGGGTGGGGGGGGGCTTACGGGCCGTGACAGCCACGCCACAGGCAGGAAGCCAAATAAGAGAGCTTTGCAGCTGTGGTCACCAGGAGGGCTGCCTGGAGGCAGCGGCCAAAGCCAGCCAGTGGCACAGGGCTCGTACCCTGTGGGGTCTCTCCCATGGCCCTTCTGCTAGATCGCCACTCATGGTGGGGAGAGGCACCCCCCTGTCACGGAGGGCTGGGTTAGGTGACCTTCCTGCAGGAAGTTACTGTGCCAGACACCAGCAGAACCAGACAGAGCCCCAGTCTCCTTGGGGCTCACAGTCTAGTGCTCCTGAGTGGCAGGACTCTAAGCTGCTTCCTTACAGCGTCTCGGGCACCAAGGCCACCCCTACACCTCCCTCACCCAGCCCTGGCCTGGGATCACACCCCTGGGCCCCTCCTGGAAGGCCTTGAGGGCTGGGTTCAAGGTCACGGATCACTCTTCTTTACCCAAAGTGTGCTCGGCCATGAGAATCTGCTATGAGCCAGCCTCCCGCATGGAGCCGGCCAGGCAGAGATGCCCAGGAGTCAAGTCTAGAGGGAGAGCGGGTGTGAACAGCCAGTCCTGGCCCAGGTGGGGGGGGAGGGGAAGGGGGTAATAGAGGGCTGGGCTAGACAGACAGGCAATCCGGGGAGGCCTCTTGGAGGAGGAGGCTGCCTGAGGGGGGGGAGGGGGAGAGGGGGGTTGGGGAGGAGCTGGGGGGGAACATGCACCTGTCACACAATGCATACCTCGCGTCAGCCTCCCTCCGGTCCGTCTGTGAGCTGCGAGCAGATGCGTGTGCTGCTCAGTGCTGGGCACTCGGCATGTGCACGGCAACTGCTAGTTTGAAGTCAACTGGTAAAGGGCCAGGGCCTTTTAATCCGGCTGAGAGAACATCCCAGGGCCTGCTAGGGAGCAGGGAGCAGACAGAGTGGCCGCTGGCCATCTGATCCATGGGCCCAGACACTAGGACCCCCCCCCCCCCCCCCCCGCCCCACCCCCCCCCAGCCACCTCGGCCGCCTTCCCACCATCCTGCACTCCTTGCTCTGGGCAGCAGGGGGCGCCAAGCATGCATGGTTGAAAACTTGTAAGGCTGCAGGCAGAAAGGGACCGAGGCTCTGTCCAGCTTAGAGCCTCAGCCTGGGCCTCCTGTCAGCCTCCAGAGGCCTCAACAGAGGCCCTGGGGCTCCACCTGAGCCCAGTCCCTGCCTGGCCTGGAGCTGGGTGCTGCTCCCCAGCATCCCTACAGCTCCACATGTGGTTCCCCGCCCCGGGCTGGACCTCGACTTCCATGACAGAACCCTCCTTGGGGACTTCCATGTGTCCACTCCCCAAGGAGGGAGTGGTCTGGGGCAGGGACGCCACTCCCTGTGAGAGGCCTGCGTTCAGGCCTAACTATCGGTGTCTTAAGCAAGTTTTCCAAGGTTTCCGTCTGTAAATAGGAATAATTAAATATATGCAAAATATTTGGGACCGTGTTGGGCTTCTAATGGGGTCGCCGAGGCCACCAGCACCACTACCACCACCACCACCACCACCACCATCACCATCATCATCATCATCATCATCATCATCATCATCGTGCCAGAGCAGACTGTGGAAACATTCTGGCAGCCAGCCAAAGCCCAAGGGAGCTGCTGGAGCTGGGGGGCGTAGGGGGAGAAAGATGCATGGGGAGTTGGAGGGGGGATGGGGAGGGAGGAGAAATCTGGGGGGGCTTCTTGGAAGAGGTGCCGTGGAAGACTAGCCATGTACAGGCCTGAGTTGCCCACAGGGCCAGGAGGAGACAGGATAGGGCGGTAGGAAATGTCTGGGCCCCCCAGTAAGTTCTGAGTTGAGGGAGACTAGGTCTGGAGGCACCAAGCTGCACTGTCACCCGACAGTTGCTAAGCCCAGCTGTAATGGCTCCAGGAAGCAGGTTCTGCATGGAGGCTAGCCTGGCAGGGGGAGGGGGGGGAGGATCCACTGGCCTGCATGTCCTGAGGGTGTGGGGGAAGGTGGACCAAGCCAAGACCTGGGGGCCTCTCCATATGGAGGCCTGGCATCAGCAGAGGGGGCCCTGGGCCCGGATGCCAGGAGTCGGGCCAGGCAGCCCAGGGGCAGAAGCAGGTGTGAGAGGTCTGGGCAAATTGATTTTTGAAGGCCGAGGAAAGAAGCTAAATATGTTTGCTGGCGCAGAGATGACTCAGGCGTTGGTTCCCCAGGGGTTCACAAGTGTGAGCATCAAAGACATGGAGACAGGCTTCCACCTCTGGGGCGCTGCCAGCCACGGGCCCCTCCGCCGGGGCCATGGAGCGGTGTCTGCCCGTGACCAGCCCAGCAGACCGCACCTGGCATGGCTGAAGGATGATGGGGTGGGGGGTGGGAGGATTGAAGAGGGTAAGGGAAGACTGGGTGTGTAACACTAATGGCAGTTACACTCAGGGTAACCAAGGGGCCCCTTTTGCTTGGGACAGAGGGAGCATATTTCCCTGGGGAAAGTCCTGGACAAAGCGGAGATGGTCACTCTGGTACCACATAACGTGCTCTTCACAAACTCACTTCCCAAATGCCTGTAATCTCAGATACACAGGCGGCTGCGATCTGAGGATCCTGGTTCGAACCCATCCCCGGTAGGAAAATCTGTGAGACTCTTCTCTCCAATTAACCACCCCAAAGCTAGACGTGGAGCTGCTGTTCAAGTGGTAGAGCACCAGCCTTGAGCACAAAAGCTCAGAGACAGCGCCCAGGCCTTGAGTTCAGCCTCCGGGCATGCCCCACAGTCCCGACACTGGACAGCTAGATTGCTCCCGGGTTTTGGTGTTTGTAAATCCACTGCCTTTAAAACATCTTTAACAAAACAAAAATTGGGCCCAGGCTTCCCATGGCTGCCCCTTTTATTTCAGAAGTTCCTGGAGATGTCTGCCTCTTGTGGGGATAGGATGACTTTCTAGCAGATTCCCGGGTCAGGCTGGTCCTGGGGACCCCACCGCTGCTTTGAGAAGATGGGTAGTGGGGGGAGCCCCTCCCGCCCCCAGCCTCTCCTGGGCCTCAGTTTCTTAACTGGGAAGGGAGCTGCAGGGAGGAGGGCAGCATGCCTTCACACCTCAGCTGGCAAAGGGCTACCAGGCGCATGGGAAGTCGTTAAAGATAGTGATCGTTATTCAGCAGTAGATTAAATAACTTCGTGTTTTAAAATATTTGTTCATTTGAATGGAATTGCATTTATTAAAATTCCCTTTTAGAGCCGAGCAGGATTGAATTATTGCCGTGCGAGGGTTTCGTGTTTGGCTGTGCTCTGTCCTGCAGATCAGGACTTGGGCGCTTCGCCTCCCTGACCTGTCCGCCCTGCCTTTCCTTAGCCCCCTCCTCCCCGGTGCTGCACCCCCCACCCTTAGATCTGCACCTCCCCGAGCCCCTCCAGAGAGGCCCAGGGGCCAGAGCAGGATGGGGGTGCTGGGAAGGCCAGTCACCCCTCCCTAGGAGGACACAGGAGTGCAGTAGGTGGGAGGAACTGACCCCCCCCCCCGCCGCCTTTGGGCTGTCCCAGGTGAGCACTGAATCTCCTGGGTTGCTGGAGGCTGTACCTGTCCCAGAGCTGCCCAAGGCCCGTCCTGACAGAGTGGGGCGCCATGCCCCTGCAAAGCCCGAGGCCTGTCCACGGCCAGAGCCGACTGGGAAGCCAAGGGCCGGCTGGGCCTGGCCTCGCCCACAGCTCTACAAAGGGCCTTTTAAATTTCCTTTTTTCTTTTCTTGTGCTCGCACTGGGGCTTGAACTCAGGGACTCTGATTCTCATTTGGCTTTTTCCACTCCAGGCTGGCACTCTACCACGTGAGCTCCACTTCCAACTTTTTGGTGGTTAGTTTTGGTGGAGATAAAGAGTCATGGGCCGAGCGTGGTGGCTCACGCCTGTAATTGTAGCTACTCCGGAGGCTGAGATCTGAGGATCGCGGTTCAAAGCTAACCCCAGCAGGAAAATCTGTGAGACTCTTATCTCCAATTAATCACCAGAAAACCGGAAGTGGTGCTGTGGCTCAAGTGGTAGAGAGCTCGCCTTGAGCTGAAGAGCTCAGAGTTCAAGCCCCATGACCAAAAAAAAAAAAAGTCTCATGGACCTTCCTACCCAGGCTGGCTTTGAACTGTGATTGGCTTCATGAGTAGCAGGGATTACAGATATGAGCCACTGGGGCCTTGCTAGTTTTCGTTAGTTTTGGTTTGGTTTTTTGTCAGTCGTGGAGCTTGAACTGTGGTCCTGGGCACTGTCTCTGAGCTCTTCAGCTCAAGACAAGTGTTATACCACTTGAGCCACAGCGCCACTTCTGGTTTTCTGATGGTTCATTGGAGATAAAAGTCTCACAGACTTTTCTGCCTGGACTGGCCTTGAACCATGATCCTCAGATCTCAGCCTCCTGAGTAGCTAGGATGACAGGTGTGAGCCACTGGCGCCCAGCTTGTGGTTGGTTGATTTGTGGCGCTGATGGGACCAAACCCAGTCCCTCGAGCATGGAAATCCACTGCTCCACCTCCAAGCTTCATCTCCAGCAGGCCCAGTCCATTTTACCCAGACACAGCCATGCCCATTTCTCTCTAGGAACTGTCTAGGACTTCCTCACTACTCCGCCAAGCTGGTATGGCTTGAAAAACTACAAATGCCTACTGCCTGGCCCTTTCCAGAACCCAGCTGCCCCCAACCACGCTATGGGACAAGTGCACAAGGCCTCAGTTTCCCCATCTGGAAGTGCTGGGCAGTGAGGGGTGAGAGGCTATGAGTGCCAGGTAAGCAGGCCGGTGGGCGGGCAGGTAGGCAGGCAGGCAGGCAGGCAGGCAGGCAGGCAGGCAGGCAGGTAGGAAGGAAGGCAGGCAGGCAGGCAGGCAGGTAGGCAGGCAGGTAGACAGGTAGACAGGCAGGCAGGTGGGCAGGCAGGCAGGCAGGTAGGCAGGCAGGTGGGCAGGCAGGCAGGCAGGAAGGCAGGCAGGTAGACAGGTAGGCAGGTAGGCAGGTGGGCAGGCAGGTA